GTATAATGACCATTTTATTTTAATACAGACCTTGAAAGAGCTCAATCTTTGCAACAATAAAATTGGTGATGCAGGAATCCACCATTTAGCTCGAGGATTACAGAATAACACGGTCAGACAACTTTTCTTCCAATTGACTATAATTTCATGATTATATTTTATTAAAGTCACTTACAAAACTCAACCTCGGGTTAAACGACATGACAGCTCAAGGAGCGCAACATCTATTTCAAGCATTAAAAAATAACACAGTCGGACAAATTTTGTTCTTATTGACTATAATTTTACGATTATATTCCAATATAGACACTCACCACACTCGATCTCACAAGAAATAATATTCTTACTGAAGGAGCACAATATCTGGCTCAAGCATTACAGAATAATAAGGTCAAACAATTTTTCTTTTCATCAACTGTATATTTATCATTGTATTTAAATATAGACACTCAAGATACTCAGACTTGAGCTCAATCATATAGGCGATAAAGGGGCACAGTATCTAGCTCAAATACTACAAGATAACAAGGTGATATTAGGTTTCTTCTGATCGAATGCATATTCACCATTATGTTTCAAAATAGACACTTACCACGCTCGATCTTGCCAACAATTGCATCGGCAATGAAGGCTCAGAATATATAGCTAAAGCATTATTGTGTAACACGGTGAAACAACTTTTCCTCTCTTCGATTGTACATTTACCAATACATTCCAATATAGACACTTACAGAACTTAATTTGGGAGCCAACAATATCAGTGCTGATGGGGCAGAATATCTAGCGCGAGTGTTACAAAAGAACACCGTGAGACAATTTTTCTTCTCATCCGCTGCATATGCACCTTTATATTTTAATACAGACACTCTACACACTCATATTTGACGGCAATGGAGTTTGTGTCGAAGAGGCTCAACATCTGTTCAAGGAACGATATGCTTTTGAGTACTACCTTGCATATCCACGATAATTCATACATATGTGTCCATTTAAAAACTGTTTCTCTTTTTCATTTCAACATTTATTTTATTTTATGGACCTTATCGTTTAGAGAGTTCTATATTTAATTGACATAAATTTATACAAGGAAGAAATCCCAACATCATAGTCGATTTATCTATATAGATTAATTATTGTTATTTGTGTATTTTGAACATAACATAGGATATTTAATTTAATTGACACTCTAATTTTTTGTCTCCATTTAGCTTCGAATAATCAAAAGGAAAGCAGTCTACAGACGATGAAATTGATCTCTTTGAGAAATCCGACTTCATCTAAGCACCATTATTACATTGAATGCCTGAAAGCGTTCTGTGATAGAATTATTCGAATAACGCTTGTTTTTGTTATGAACAGGTCCAGTGTTAAATTCAATCATCATTGTCTTTGGAATAAAACAGGTTTTTACATGATAATCGTCTCTCTTCATCTACTCAATACATGCTCGATCAACCTCGTTTCCATATGGTTGGGTAGCAATTTTATAGGGCTTCAGAACGGGTAGTTGTAAAACATGCGAACAATCACAAATACCTATATTTTTTGACATTGAGTCGCCCTACTCGAGGTATGTACGTGCCCAACATTTCAACCTTTTATATGATTGAATAAGGAAAATAGCACGGACCTATTTTTTCTATTTGGAGTGTTATGATTGAATTTTGGCAAATTTTCTGACTTCGACCATTATGCTTCAAACAGAAAAAGTAGAGTGTTGCTGTTTTCCTCATTCAACCATATAAAAGGCTGAAATTTTGGGCATGTGCGTAACTCTATTAATGCTACTCGCTGTCAAAATAAATGAGTGTTCCTAGGTGTTCGTAGAATCAGAGTGTGGGTGTGGGTGTGGGTATAAATGTTTCTCGAAAGAACACCCATACCCACACCCAACTTATATACCAGGGTCTACCTCTATATTTATGTGTCATTATTTTCACCCTCATCCTCACCCTCACGATCCTTTTATCTCTTTCAGTTATTTTCTTTCAACTTAAAAGCAAGAAAGACATACAAAAACTAGAGAAAGATATCTAATAGAAAATGTCAGTTTAAAAGCGAAATTTTTCGACTCTCCTGCCTCCTTCCACACAGACTTGACAGACATCTTAACAATGCCCGATCACAGACCGTGACAGTCACTATAGAATTTTCTCATGTATAATGTAAGCAAGTGGCTCGATCATGTTTCGCATTTTAATTCTACAAGGATTGCGTTAACCGATTTTTGTGAAGCTCACATATATTTTTGAAGAAAATAGTAAGTCTACGTTTTAAGTTGAAGTTTTGCGGCTACTCCCAGTGACAGAGACAGGATTTGGGAATAGGCTTGCTCATTCCCCTATAACGAATAACATACACGTAATTAAAATTTCGCTAGGAAGGTTCAAAGATTCATAAGAAGAAGGGCCTAAGCCCCTCCTTGATCCTCTAATTCGAACAGCTCTCATCAATTAAGAACAACAAGCATTAGGCTCCTTTTCCATAGTCTCTTAGCAATGGAAAATGCCGATAAATTGCATAAAAACAAGGCTGAGGCCGTCGTAAAATATTTCAAAGCTTTGATGCAAATTTTAATGACTGGAATAGTTTTTCCATGCTCTAAATAGTATTCTAACTTTCAAAAGTACTCGAAATTAGTGTTTTGAGTTTATCGAAATGCATAATTAAAAATAAAAAAACAGAACATAAAGAATGAGCGAATAGCAATAAGCAAATAGAAAAAATAAATTCCCAGATAAAAACAATTAATCAAAAATTTCTGTTTAAAATGGGAGTAAAACTAAGACAGATGGTTTCTCCAATGATCGATTATTTTTAGAAAGTAACTATCGTCTGTTAAATATTGTTCATTTTACCTATTTTATGTTAGTATAATGAGGCTAAAGATATGTGAGATTCAAATTTCAGTTACAAAGAGGCAACAGTAACAAACTGTTTTTGGATAATCAAATCGACATCAAATGACGATGAATGGAAGATTTTCACAGACTTTTGTTACGATTTCTTGTTCGGAAAGTTTTCATGCTCATATACGCACATTGTCACTGAGCGATATATACAGTAAATGAACTAAACACAGAAGCTAAATATCTTCTAGATATAGTTATAAAACAAACGTAGCACTTCGTAAATGTACTGCTACCTGTCAAAAACTAACGATGGAGTACTGTGGATTGAATTTGTATTTGATTGTAGATTGATGTTTCTTTGAAAACTGGAATGGTTAAGATGGAATTAAGAATGACCTCCTAACAGTGATGCATGAAAATTTAATTATAGAAAGTAATAATGTCTTGTAAAACAAAATACAATACAAAAAAGAAAACATTATTTTAGTTGGAGAAATCATCAGCGAATGAGAAACAAAAAAACAGAGGACAGCATCATAAACAACTTCACTGAAGACATAGCAGTAGAAGCGCACAAGAGTAACACAAAATAAACAGTGTAAAAAGACCATAAGGTGACAAAAAATAACAGCAAACAAATAAAACTTTACAACACATGTTAATGTAGTGAATTGGTAATGATAAAGGAAAGTGTAACTGTAAAAGGGAGGATATTATTTTCAGAGAATGTTACTAAAGTTGTAGGAGACTCAGTGATTCACTTACTGAAATAGCAGAATGGAATATAGAAGATTGTTAGTTCGACCTTAAATCTGGCGAAGAAATCTCTCTTTCTACATATGTATCCTATATATCCAAAAAGATTGAGAAGACTGTCAGTCGTATGATCCAGCTTGGGGACTTAATCCAATGAATCATCTAATCATGCATTCGTTACAACCATTTTTATTCCACGAATGATTCACATCGTTGCAATGATTCGTCTACCCATTTAACGAAACAATCCTGCAGCTGTTGACCAAGTTCTTCATTAGAAAATTTTAGCTCAACTGGTTCTTTACTGCCATAAACTACGATAATATTTTCAGTAACTGTAATAGCATAGTGATGTACAGTGAACACTTGTCTGATAATGCGAAGCCAAAAATGAATTCCTGTTATCAAAAAAGCACTGACAAACTTCTTTTGAGAAATATCATTCACAAATTTCCACTCCACATTCTCAATCCATATCGAAAGTTTATGAAATGCGTCATTTTTTAAATCTGACATAGATGGCAACAAAACCAAAATTTTTATAATAGTCAAACTTATGTTGAAATAGTTTTCATGATCATATGCATCCAATAATATTTCGACCATTTCATTGGTCGCTGCTTTTTCACCATTTTTGCGAGAGCTTCGCACGCACTATTTTCGACCCACCGATTCTTATCACCGAGAAAAATCAAAAGTTTACTAATCACTTCATCGGTCGCTGCTTTTTTACCCATTTCTCTGAGAACGTCACACGCACTACTTCTGTTCCCATCATTGATATCACCAAGTAGAATTAAAAATCTGTTAATCACTTCATCGCTTGCTGCTTTTTGGCCCATTTCACCGAGAGTGTCGCACGCACTACATCTAATCTCATCATTTGTTTTACCAAGTAGAAATAGAAGTCTGTGTGTGGGTGTGTGTGTGTATTCAATTCATTCATCACCCACACCCACCCCACCCACACCCTATTCCAATCTACTGCTAACATCACCTATGTTTGGTGAAAAACAGTGTTTTGTTATTGCATCACGCCAATGCTTCTTGCAGAAAATAGGGTCTTCCCCCGATTATGTGTTGCAAAAAATTCTTTTGATTGATTTTTGGTTGATAGACTAAAAATCATGTCGTTTTTTTTTCTTTCTTTCTTTCGTTTACATCAAATTGTACGAGTTCTGATTACCTTGAATGTCATATAACCAAGAAAAAAACTTTCACTTCCTCACAGGCATGACGTTGAACAACACTTAAATTGATTTTTTTCTATTCTTGTCGAGAAACGAATTCGTATTTTCATCAGTTTCATCGTATTAGAGGTGTTCGTTACCCATAATGGTGGTCACATCTCGTCGTATACTCTTCTTTCATTTGTTAAGTTTGCTAGTGACCATGTTCACGATACGATTCACACATACCCAAGGTGCAGGCGGTGGTGGTGGAGGTGGAGGTGGTGGAGGTGGAGGTGGTGGAGGTGGAGGTGGTGGAGGTGGAGGTGGTGGTGGTGGTGGTGGTGGAGGTGGGAGTGGTTTTGGTAAGCTAAAAATCAGACAAGAGACTAGTGATCTTTCAGTCTTGATATTGCGTCGTATTTAGTCCGAAATAGTTGTCTATTAGAAGCAGAAGACCACACTATATGATCAATATAGGTTCCTACTGAGGAACAAACTTAGCTAAACTTCGCAGAAATTCTCTCCAAGATTGTTTCGAAATTGGAAATATAATAATTCAAAAACTCCAAAAATTAATATTCACAAAGTAGATATTTGTGCCCGTGACTTTCATGCTCTAGTCATAGGTTATATTTATATATATTTGATGATTTTTAAGGAGTTTAGTATTACATTACTGAATGTTATGACATAAACCTTGTCATGATTCGAGATATTCAAACTAGAAGATCTCTGTCTATTATTGATTCAGAATACTCATCTTTTATACTGAATATTCCTTAAAAATCCTTTTCTCTTTATTCTTTACAATACGAATCGACAATTGATCGAAATTGATACTCTATGAAGGAAATAAGAACTAAAAATGATTGTTTAGTAATCCATCTGTGATGGGACTTCAAAACCCTGTAGAACGTATACTTCGAACATGCGCAATTTTCAAGTATGTTATTTTTATTAAGGAGGTACTGGTAGTGGCTGGAACTCTGGATCCAGTAGTCATGGCACAACAAACTGTACCGAAGAATGTCGACGTACTTCAATTATTGTCGGCGCTGTGTTTGGTAGTGTAATCGGAATTCCAATGATCTGTGTATCCTGTTTCATATGTATCTTTTTATGCCATGGATTCTGTGGTTGTTCTGCTGATTGTTGTTATTCAATCTTTACTTGCAAATACCGTAAAAGAGTGCCACCCGAATCGAAGAAAATTGCTGTCATATTGAATTCACCTCCATGTACAACCGAGCTTTTAACTGTAGACGCAACAGCTCCCTCTCCATCACACACGGCACTTCCACCAATTTTACCTATTGAATTTACTTCCATTTCACGCGCTAAGCTTCCTCCAATTCTAAATTCTCAAACATCGATAATAAATGTCTTTCAATCAGGTTGTTATAATATGCGCTACTATCAATATTTTAAATGGCATGGATCTTTCCTTGTTCAAATGGAATTCAACAATGGAAATGTTCAAGGTAATGGTACTGACGATGTCGGCTCATATGATGTTACGGGAAGCTACTCAACCGACGACAATCGTCTAACTTTAACAAAACAATATAAACGTGGAACTGGAGATCCTCGTGAGAATTTCGGGCATCAAGTCAAAATTGATTTGAAATGGAATGATCAAGCACAACATTTCGATGGGCAATGGGTTGTCAGAACAGCAAGCTACTTTGGTCAAGATAAGTTCGAATTGAAATTAAGACCATATGTTAATGCAGTGTAGCGTGTGGTTTTAAGGATTCAAATGCTCAGTCGACTAATTTATGATAGAAACAGATACCGTTTGACCAAATGTAATATGATAGATCAGTATTTTTTACCGCTACGATTGTGACTTTCGTCTGCATCCATTTTGTCTTCAGTTTTTTTTTCTAAAAAGAAATAAAATTCAACCACCACGGGTGTTGTTTCGAGTTTGGTATAAATGCTAGCCTCAGCGGTTTACAATAAGAAAACAAACATGTGGTTTATCTTATGAAAATGCACCTATAGTATACTTAATCGAAAGAAAATCTAAAATTCCAATGAATATAATTCAACAAGAGTTCATTAATGAGTTCTAATTGTTTACAGCTTCTTGAAAATAAGAGAGATATTCATTCACATCAGCACTATTTATTCAGAAAAAAGTACTGATCGATTTGTACAGGTGCTTCCGAGTAAGATTCGTTCTGAATTCACATGAAATTATACAATAGTAAATATGTGAATAATAGTGGCAATACAATGAAAATAATGTTTATTAGACGACGTTTCAACTTTCTTCGAAGCTATTGGTAAATTTGAAATATTTTATTTTCACCCGAAGTGTTTTATATAGTATTGGTTGTTAGGAATAATAACTGTTATCTGATACCTGTTGCCGTTCATGTAGCTAGTTTTTACTTGTCATGCTGCTGAAAGTTGAAGAAGCTGATATTAGTCGAATCGAACGGAGGGGAACTCGAACTGCGTATTGAAAGCG